TAGTTGCCTGTGTGTACAACGCATGGTTACCTGAGTGTAATTCATAGTTACTTGAGGGTAATGCAAAGCTACTTGAATGTAATTCTCAATTACTTGTGTAATTCACAAATCCTTGTGAGACAAACTCATATAAAACATTGTGTGTACCAACAACACCCTGGGAGTTGAGGTGCCACTGTTCTTAATCCCTATGCAAATTCAAGGTATGAACTTGTTTGACATGAGATATGTTGCAACATCAGCACATGTCTCAAGTAACATCATCCATGAATAATCATCACATTTTATCACATGAACCTCTCGAAACAATGCCATTTCTTTCATCACAGAATCTCAGGCAATAAACAAGACTGGCAACTTGAACCCTCCGGTAATGAACCAGCTGAAAACATATTGTCTGTGAAATGTCTTGGTTGCAGCATATTTTACTTGTGAGTGCCATGTGCGTATTTGTTGTTCCTATCTTGTCCATACCAAAAAGAAAAATATGTAAGTATATGAATATGCAAATATATACTTGTCAAAAAATAGGGGTGCCCCAAAGTGTACATTCTTCAATTGGGATTTAAAGCTTTGGGGCACCCCTATGTTGAGGCATCATCACTTGTACTATTTTTGTATAGTATATAAACTGATACTCGTGTATTCAGCATGTCATTTATTGAACTTGTTACGTCTGTAACCCATATGCCATTTGCTCTATTTGTGGACAACTGCCAAGGCCACATGATTACTTGTGGCATTGCTTCTTTTTTGTATGCATTTGCATGAACATAAGTCACTCATTTATCTTGATCATGTCTGGCGCAGATTGACAAGAACGATGAAAAAATGAATTTAGAATTACTTGTGGCAATTATGTTGGATCCTTGTGGGTATGTTCAACAAGGAGTTCCACTTATATAGTAATGTATATAAACACTTCCCAATATATAGCCAATGTTTGTTTGCCTTCGGATTTCTTCCATGTTTTTCTTTTTTTTCTGAGGTTCTTATGCATTTCTGATGATGTTCTATTGAAATTTTGATGAACAAATAAAAACTGCATGCAGTTCTTATGCAGTTTGGTTTTTGTTTTTAATTTTCAACCAAAAAAACATACCTTTTTGCAAAAAGATAGTTATGACGTTTTCAAAACAGCATACCAGCTGCATATGAACTGCGCAATATTTTTTCTTCTATTGCTCATCAAAATTTCAAAATAACTTCATGAAAATGACAAAAAATAGAAAGTGATAGAGCCTTGACTCGAAGTTTCTTGTGGAGTTTGTAAAATCTACATATAGCGATGTCTCAAAATGAGGTGTCCTTTTTTGCTCTTCAAAGTGATATTTTGGGGGCCAAAAAGGACACCTCACCCTGAGACATACTCATATCATATTGCATTCAGGACAAAAATCAACAGACATTCATAGTATATACAACATATATCCATGGGATATTCAACTCATGATTGGCCGAGAACAAGTTGAAACACCATTTCCAACTGTGCGACAAAGTGGCAACACACCAGACAACTTGCAGTCATCAGAGATACATCATCTCAGGTAAGGAGTGATTAAAACTATCACTTAAATGAACGTATTTCAGATACATCTCAGTGAAGGGAAAAATGTGTTAATACTCACGTTTTTTTTTCAAGTAACCAGTTCAAGCAAGATACTCAAGTAATGACCTCAAGTAAACATGTCACTAACAGCAGCACCAAATGACGACATCTATGCCAGCTGACTAAACAACTTTTTGGGATTTCACAAGCTGATTGATCAAAAATGGGCCCTTGCCCTTATACGGCCAACATGGCAACCAACTCAAGACCAACAGCAATCAAAAACAAGGTAGGTGGACAGAAATACCCTTCAACAAAAATCATTGGTTTCAGTTTCTTTTTCCACAATGCTTTCATGCATAAGTAACATGCATCATCAGAAGCAACTCAAGTACAGTCACAGGTAGCATAGTGAATCATAAGAAGGAAGAAGGTCACATAGGTAACAGGTTCAAATTATTGAAAATTTGACAAGTAGTTGTTCAAAAGAAGAAAACACACCCCTAATCCGTTCGCACAGTTTTTCTCACAAGTAAACCCACTGGACAAACCTTACATCAGCAATCAACACACACACACGCACATGCAAATGCCATAAAAATGAGCAAACAAAAATGCACAAACCACATCAACATTGATACAAAATCTGCACCATACCCAGTTGCAAAAAAAAACAGAAACCAAATATGTGACATGTGTTCATTCAAACAAGAACCACTTAAAAAATGGGTATAAAAGTAGTAAATCAATTTAGGTAGGTAAGGCCAGGTAAGGTATATAAGTATATTTTGGTTATCAAAAATGCACTAGTAAATGCTTGCCCTAAATTTAATCAAACTATATAGTGAATTTGGTTGTAGGTCAAATTACTAATTTAGGAGACGTCCATAAGTTTCGTATATTTTTGAGGTTTGAAGGGAGCAATGATGAAAAATGCACTGAGGTCACAATAAATATGCATTTTTGAGATTACCAAAATCAAAACTTGAAAAAAGAAAGCACGCCGACTCATACTCCATCATTGCCACAAATGGTCTGCACATTGGCCCAAATTTATCCAAATTGTGCCATCCACTGGCTAGAGAAGGTGGCAAAAAAAATGCTGTCAGCAACACCATTTGGTGCTTTGATCTTTCTGAACATTATTTGGTGTAAAATTGTTTTTATACCCCAAAAAAACTGTTATTTTGAGTTTGAGTTTTGAAAATGCTAAATTCCATGCATTTTGTTTTTTAAGTTTTTTCCATGCTGCCCCCAACTTCCTATTTTGCCGAAATCCCCTCAACGGCATCAATACCTAAATCTTCATTAAAAAAACCTTTAAAACGCAACATAAAATCTTGGGACAAATTGTAGTGACTTTACATCCCAATAATCAACATCTAACATAGTCAGCCATTTTTTCCGATGGCAACTTGTAGCGCTGGTTTGCTCATTCGTTCTTGGTCGAAGGAACCCCGCTCCTACAATTGTGTAGCCCCTAAGAAGTTGCCACTAAGAAAAACAGCACAAGGTAGCGCTTATTGTGACCATGGTGCATCCTCAAGAATGTACATGAATGATCCCCTGTGTTTGATACCCTGCAGCATTTGCAAAGCATTTTATAGAGAAAGTAGGTGCTATAGAATGCATAACCAAGGGTATTTTCTCTATAAACTGTTAAACCAAGGTTTTATATGAAATGATCCTGCTTTACAAGGAGGACCAAAAATAGCTTGTATTGGCTCACCAAAAAAGGTGGACTATACAATGGCATCCCAAACTTCCTTGTCATCCAATCGCTTTGATTATGTACAGTCTCCACGCAATGTACATGGATCAATCTCCACGCAATCTCACGGGTCAATCTCCCAAGCACATTTTTGAAGGGTGGAACACCTTTTGGTCTCAACCCCCTCCAGGTACCAACTCCAGTGGAAAAGAAAAAACAGCAACAGGCAACAAAAGAACCCTAAGAAAAAGAAAAGCACTTCAGGGATGAAAGCTGTATCAAATTATGTACTTGCTCTAAGAAACATGCACCAAGATAAAACAGCAAACAGCAAACCCTCCCAAAACAAACCAACATGAAAGACAACTGCTACAAAGTGGATGGGTACGAGTCGAATCACTACAGAAAGCATTGCAGCAGAATCCATTCTGTGTCCAAATTTGTGTTGACAACAGCAGTTGATAAATGAACGCGTCAGTAGACAAATACAGCAAGAGCCAGCCCAAGGCAGGAAAGTACTTGTTGAAAAAAGGCAGCAAGATGAAAACTGTATCAAGTTTTGTACTTGCTCTAAGAAAAATGCAGCAAGACAAAGCAGCTGCAAACCCTCCCAAAACATATCAACATGAAGAGAACTGCTACAAACTGGATGGGTACAAGTCGAATCGCTACAGAAAGCATTGCAGCAGAACACACTCCGTGTCCAAATTTGACAACAGCGGTTGATAAATGAACACGTCAGTAAACAAATACAGCAAGAGCCAGCCCAAGGCAGGAAAGTACTTGTTGAGGCAGCAAAATGAAAGCTGTATCAAACTATGTACTTGCTCTAAGAAAAATGCGGCAACCCTTTCAAAGCAAACCGGCATGGAAAGAACTGCTACAAAGTGGATGGGTACAAGTCGAATCACTACAAAAAAACGTTGCAGCAGAATCACCCAATCTGTGCGCAAGTTTTTGTGGACAACCAACGCTGATAACTGCTTCAAGTTACTGAGTAAATTTCCCGATTGTACGCTGTAGATGTTGACCCTTTTTGCAGCTCAAATATCAACCCTGATGCTATTGTATTGTGCGCTGCATTGAATTTGTTCATTTCCGAGTGAAACAACGGGTTCACTACAAATTGGTCATGAAAACATACGAAGTCTCATGTTGCTTCATATGATAGAACCATGAAAGCCACTACCAGTTACCATTGTAAATTTACATGCTTCTTTTTGGAAAAAAAACGCTCGTACAAAATCGATCAAAAATCCTTACTACAAACTGCTCTTTCATTTTCTTTTCGGATCTCATTGGCTTACAAAACTCGACTGCTACGATTTGCTTCTACACAACGTCACAGAGGACTATAAAAACATAGGTTCCCAGAGGGTTTATAGTGGGCCCCAAGGCCTAGCATTCTGTAGTGGAAATTCTGACCAGGACGATTTAGTAACATTAGGCTGTCAGGACGAGTTCTTAGGAATCTTCAAGGCGATGACAACTTCATCATTACAAAGTTCCTTCTCAGAGTAATTATATACTTGCTCTATCATCAGCGCGTGCCTTTGTACTTGTGAGTGTGCAAGTATGCGCATGTGCATAGCCATCACGATGTGGTTGCAATCTGTGTCAAATACGCATTTTGAAGGATAATAAAGCCGCTCCACCAACACTGTCTTGGTTGGCTTTACATCTCACGGTATTTGCTTCAGAAACAACAATAGCTGGCACATGCGACAAAGCAAGACACATTTAATTCTGATGTATACTGTAAGTGCAGCAAATGTTGAATATGCAGCGGCCGTGTCTTCTCCGAGAGTCTTCAATTGACATCCCCACGCAGTTGCAAAGATGCCCAGAAGCTGCGATGATACTCCGTTGGGCCATGTCGATTTCCAACATGGATCCATGTTTTCGTCCATCCGAAGGCTCGTCTCGAACGTTCACTACCTCAACCCAAATTGCAGATGCAAGAAAGGGTTGCACGCTGTATGGATGGCGGGGGCCTTACTATATGGTCTAAACCCATTGTGCTGCGGGACATGCGGACGTGCCTGTGCATGGGAGCTGTACTCTGCTATTTCAGTCATGAAATGGTGAGGAAGTGATACTCAGATTCTGTTGCTTCGATGATGAATGCGACAGTGAAGATGGATGGGTGGGTGGGTGGGGTGAGATCTCGATGGTACGTTGAATAAGATGACTTTCTTCGACTTGCGCATGCCTGTGATGCTATGCTAGGTGTGGGGTTGGGGTTGCAGTAGGGTTGTGTGGAGCAAATACTTTCGTGAAGCCCTTGGTCAAAACACATGAAAAGAAACGGTGTAGAATCCAGTGACGAGCGCCGAGTGTTTCAATGGAGACGACACCGAAGAGTTACGAATGACTGGACTGCAAAGCAGTTGTCAAAACTTGCAAAGGTGCATCAAATGCTGCACAAAATAATGTTGACATATGTTGACATCTTTGGATCTCGCTGAAATGATCCACCCACAAACGCCGAGGCGTCGTGACCAACTACATACAGTACAAATCAGTCCAGTATAGTACAAGTACAATCATCAATCAGGTCAAAGAAGTTGGGAGAGGCTTCAGACTCAGACATCTCCAAAGACTCGGAAAAAAAAGGAAAAAACTATAAACAAACTTGAACAGGTCTGATCCATTCTGATGTTTGTAGTGGATCAGATTTCTTACCCCTGCCTGGCTGTCAGCGACTTGTGGGAGAATGCAACGCGTGTTGTCTTCAGGACGTTCCTCACCGGGCTTGCAAGAATGCAAAACGTGCAGTTTAGGACCAAGAATAGTGGTTGAAATGTGCCTGGTGGCTGATTGAGGAGAACCTTCAAACTCTTGAAAGTCTGTGGAACAAGGAACAAAAAAAGGAAGTTCAGATCTTGACCATCACCACCACCACCGCTGCCGCCACAATTTCGACAAGAATCTGCACTGCCAAACTTGGCGTCTGAGAATTCTCGGAGACCAACCAAGTGACACTGCTCCCCGTTCATGCGGGTGTACTTCCTCAAAAGCCAAGTGCCAAAAATGGGTTAAAAAATAAACCTTGGATATCTTTACTTTTGGCCTCAATAGCTGAAGAAGACGTTTCAAAAAATGTGACAACACTTGTTGGAGCAAGCTTCACCTGAAATACTTCTGTCTCAAGCTTCGTTGAACAACTGTCAACCAAGCGAGTGTGGAAGGCATGTGCCAGCACAGTTGCAGCGTCTCCACTTAAGGCACGAAAATGCTGCATTGCACGGTCTGCATCGTCCACAGGCATGAAATCCATGAGGCTTGCACCTGCAAGATTGTGCAAATCATGCAGGAACGCACTAGATATAAATTCAATAAGACTACATGCATATTAAATCAATATGCTATTACAAATGGTGTCATGCATTGTTCTGATTAGGCTGTAGCCCTGATACACAAAGTGTCATAAAGTTACGAACTTTCATTATTGCAGCTGTAGTCGTGGCCAACCAAGCTGGTTCGACAAATCTCCAACAAGTTCATGTTGCAGAAAAAGGACAAAGCCGAGAAAAAGGTCACCACACCCTTCGAATTTCAATCAACAATCAATCAACGAATACAACGTTTCTGATCTTTTGTGTGCATCCAAATAGAATCAAATGAGTCGAAGGGACGCTGTGAAAGGATGTTCCTCTTACAGCTTTAAAGGCAGCAATGAAATAGCCTGCAAACTGAAGTCACCACAGACAGTATGATTGAATTACAGCACGCAAACCCACACACGAACACATACATACACAAGCACACCCATGTCATCCAATGTCAGCATAGAAAAAATAGGTGCTGCTTTGCTTGCGTAAGTTTTAGGATGTTTTAAGATGGTACATGCTTGTTGAAAAAACATGCTTGCGCAGGCTTCAAATTCCAAACTCTGATCTGAGCCTTGAATGTTGCTGGACTTCAGAAGCACTGCAGCCAATGCTTTCGAGTGCTCAGTGAGGCAAAAGTTCGAATCGAGTTCCACCACTGCATCACACATGAGCCCTAAAAGGGTTGAAGCCTCGCCAAGACGTGGGCACAGAATCTCGTTCAATCTGCAAAGAAGGCTTAAGCGCCTTAAAGAGTCTTAAATCGTTCCAATGTGTCTTGACGTTTGAACATGTGTCGTGCATGTTTATTGTAGTCCAAGAAACTGCAGTGAAGTGAGTCTCCGCATTACAGCCTTGAACTTGTAGCTCCGCTTTCCGGGTCAGCACTGAAAGAAGGGCAAAACTGAAGGCGACAGTTACAGCACACATTGTCAATTCTGTCCAAAGGATCACATACCGTGATGCAAAAGTCCCTTCAGAAGCCATCTCTTCTGTACTGGCGCGGTAGATGGTCAAGACAGTAAAGCCAAGATTGCAGAGAAAAACCAGCGAGGTACGAGCGCATAGGATCACAGCTGGCAACCGGCAGCAAACGAAAAGAATCAAGGCCATATCAAACATTTCATCTGTGCCTGTGTGCCAAGGTGATAGGTATGCGGCTGCTAGAATCATGCCCACCACATAGAAGCGATTCAACGTTCTTGTGCTCAGCAGACTTGGAAATAGCACATACAAGGTCAAACATCCAAACACCAAAACATTTGTCCAGGTAAAGATTGGAGACATCCAGCGTGCACGGTCCAGGAGAACATTGCGCTGCACAGAAAGGAGGCTGCTCATGCTTAGAAAGGCATATGCCACGAGAAAGCCACGAGACCAAGAAACTTGTAATCTGGCTACTTCATCATTCACGAGACTCCTTTTCTTGGCAGAAAAAACAGAGATTGAAGGGGGGTCCTGGGCCATATTGATGTCTATCTGATTGAGCTCAGACACAATTCAGACTAATTAAGACTGAGACAAAAACAATTTAAAAAAACAAGTGGTATATAAAGCATTAAAAGCAAACTGACAATTACATTCTCTCGAAATCCAAGATTCCGTCTGAATAAAAGGTACCTAATATGATTACCGCAATTCCGCGGCCACGATAGACAGCTTTTGACCCTTCGGACAACGGCTGCCTGAATGCCATGCGTCTGGTTAAACACGGTATGCAGGATCTTGACAACAAACAAGACTTCCAAGCACGAGGATGCCGCCAGGAACAAAGTGGCATTGAGACTGACCACCATGGCATCAGCCACTTACTGTAAGCTACCTGGGACCTGTTCTGAGCCGAAGGATGCCGCCATGGTCCTGGATTTTGAATATGTTAAGATATGTTAGGCAAAAGTACACACACACAACGCACGTGACATGGGGAGTCCATGGTAGACCCATCAGCATGTCAATCATCTTCAAACCTTCACGTCCAGAATCCTGGAGGCACCATGGGCTGAGAATTGAGGTGGGCACTTCTCTTTCGCTGTAGTTTTGTTAGCCTTCAGTAGCCATTGAGGCGTTACCAGCTGAGCAAATGCAAATGCTGAGCTTGAGTCTTGTGGTGATTCCAACAGAAGTTGAATGACATTTCTTTGACGACTAACAGATTCTTGGGCCAGGTAGGTAAGCTTTTGAGAAGAATGGTCCTGGTGCATCTTCAACATGTATTTAACGAACCTGGGACTTCAGCCTTTGCATTTTGCATTTATAAAATTCATGCCCTTGGAACAGGAAGAAGAAGAAGAAGAAGTCCCTGACTGCAGCTGGATTTGCACAAAAGGAGAAAGCCAATTACAAGGCTACACCTACACCACCAAGGGAGTGAGCTCAAATGCAACACGAAAAGGATGTTCTTGGTAAAACTGTTACACACATAAGGATTCATGAATGTACCATAATCGCATCAGTAATTATGGATTTGCAATCACAACCATTCTACAAAAAGATTGCACACGACTGGTACGAGTGCTCTGATGCTTGTCCAGCTGGCTGGGACATTAACAATTTCCGGAAATGTCAGTTACTGTATAGGGATAACTATGGATAACACATGATAAAACGATAAAACATGATAAAACAATCACCATCCCGACCATATAATCTTACACTAGTATGTTGGGAGTCCGCAACCTCTGACTGATTTGTATATCCAAGAGGCCTTGAAATCAGAACATCGCTGGCTCAAACTTACATGCAGCGGCTTTGCATGGTTAGGTCGAGTCGTGCCTATGTTCTGCATGGTTAGATCAAAATGAAAGGTCTGAAAGCTGAGTACGTGAGTAATTATTTGAGGAATGGGCTTGTCTGAGGTGTTCTACTGACGCTGACTTCGCTTTTCCTTGCTGAACACTAAAATACTAAAATGCATACAAACATCAAATGCCGACTAGTGCAAATGATCTCAGGTGCAGTTTTACCTGATGGACGATTTGCCCGTGGCAAAGCCAGAAGTTTACCATGGGCGGGAGAGCAGGAATGCAAAACGTAGAAGTAAAAGGTTGTCAGTCTCATCTAATCTTTAGTGAAGCGGTTTTCATCCACTTGGCTGTCGGCAAAGTGTCACTCTCACCGGAAAATTTCTATGAGATGCTGATGATAGTTCAAGACTGCAGTCCATGGTGGTCCATGTAACCAAATTTCTCCCCAGAAATTACAGTACTTTGATGGCTTTCATGCTACTGGCGCAATCTCCACTGCTACACATTCCCCCAAAATATTACCAGGAGGGCCTTCGAGAAGGTGGCATACTAAGACTACTAATTTTAGATATGTTCGCTTCAGGCACTTAACGAGGATAATAAGCATCTGATAAGTTGCTAATTATCCTACTAATATTTTGTTTAACTTATTTATACTGTGTTAAGTTCCACTATTTTTTATTTGAACCAACTACATGATACTGAACATATCTGAAAATATAATCAAATATAGTTGAACATTATGATTCTAAAATATCTGAAAATATGTGGAAATAAGTTCGATGTTTTTTTTCAAGTATTATTTCCGATTGGGATCCTAGTCGTACTGCAGACTGCAATGATATGGTGACTTTTTGGCTCACACAAAGGGGGCAAACACAAGGTGCTCAAAACTTACAGGATCCAAACGATGAGAGAGGAACATGATTGCTGGCAAGGAACAGTTGTAACAAAAAGAAACAGTTCCTGCCAGTTCCTGCAAAGGATAGTTCAAGAACAGGATAGTTCCTGCAAAGGGTAATTTTTGCGAATAATAGTTTAGGTTCAAGATAGCTCCCCAAGAGGAATGCCATTTGTTTTTCTGAATTTCAGATTTCTTTGGAAGATGCTTTTTACTTTAAACAATTTGGTTTCTTAATTGCTTTTGTTTTTAAAATGTTTATTTGAATTTCCACATTTTCTGAATTTTCTGTAGTTTCTTTCTATATTTTCGGATTTTTCTGAATTTTCTGATTTTTCTGAATTTTCTGAGTTTTCTGAATTTCCGGATTGTTCTCAATTTCCTGGGTTTTCTGAATTTTCTAAATTTTTCGTGTTTTCTAAAAAAACTGAATTTTAATGAGTTTTCTGAATTGTCTTGGTTTTCTGAATTTTCTGTGTTTTCTAAATTTTCTGAATTTGCTGAATTTTCTGTGTTTTCTGAATTTTCTGACTTTTCTTAGATTTTCTTGGTTTTCTGAATTTTCTGAATTTTCTGGAGTTTCGGAATTTTCAGAATTTTCTGATTTTTTTGTTTTTCTTTAAAATTCAATTCCTTTTGGACCTATATCAGCTGCGTTCTTTCAGCAACACCGCTTTGTTCCATCACAGTGGTTTAGTAACTGTAGTATCCGAACAGCAATTTGTTGATTTCCAAATGTTTTTGTCACTAGCATGGAGATAGAGTTTGTGCAGAAGCGCAAATCAACAGTAAGTAGCATTGATATACAGTGTGTGTGGAAGAGCAGTCAGTAGGGTCGAGACACAAAGGTTGGCGACGTGCAAGTCAACAGCCAGTAGCGTCGAGATACAATGTGTGTGTGAAATATCTGAATAGATGTAAAACTTCTACATCTGTGACCTGTTTCATTAGCAGGGGGATGAGGGTCCCTTGGTGTGCCTCATCTATCTAACAAAGACCGCACCAAGTGGATGTGACATCAGTGCCCGGCCAACACTGATGTACCTGCACTGTATATTTCTACGCTGTTGGTTCATATATATTTTTTACCGTGATTGTAGAAAATATTCAGGAATTATCGTAAAACCGATCTTCTATTTGAAACGGGTTTGGACGCACGGAAAAATCAATTTCAAAAATTAATTCAATGACCCAAAATGGTAGAACATCCGGGATGTTGGAGCTACTTTGGCACTCTCCGCAACCATGGCCCCGGGAGTGTCCAAACTAATATCTTCTATTTAAAAACCATTTAGACCAACATCAAAAGCACAAACTTGGTGGATCATCCAACCGAACATCTTCTATTTAAAAAATGGTTTGTCGCACTATCTTGTTCTGAAAATTTGGGAATGGTATAATGAATATCTTCTATATTTGAAATGGTCTTTTCCGCTTCCCCACTGGTTGTTTGATCGACAATATCTTCTATTTGAAAATTGTTTGTCGGCCAATCTTCTTTTGAGAATTTGGGAAAATAATGCCAATATCTTCTATTTGAAAACGGGATTTCCGTCTTTTTAGGCTTGTGATGGGAACCTCTGGAAAATAATGCCAATATCTTCTATTTGAAAACGGGATTTCCCTTTTTTTGGGCTTGTGATGGGAACCTCTGGAAAATAATGCCAATATCTTCTATTTGAAAACGGGATTTCCCTTTTTTTGGGCTTGTGATGGGAACCTCTGGAAAATAATGCCAATATCTTCTATTTAAAAACGGAATTTCCGTTGTTTTATTTGGCTTGTGATGGCAACCTCTGGAAAATAATGCCAATATCGTCTATTTGAAAACGGGATTTCCGTGTCTTTCTTGGGCTTTTCTGGAAAATAATGCAAATATCTTCTATTTGAAAATGGGATTCCTCTTTTTTTTGGCTTGTGATGGGAACCTCTGGAAAATAATGCCAATATCTTCTATTTGAAAACGGGATTTCCCTTTTTTTGGGCTTGTGATGGGAACCTCTGGAAAATAATGCCAATAGCTTCTATTTGAAAACGGGATTTCCGTTGTTTTATTTGGCTTGTGATGGCAACCTCTGGAAAATAATATCAATATCTTGAATTTGAAAACGGAATTTCCGTGTTTTTTCTGGGCTTGTGATGGGAACCTCATTTGAAAACGGGATTTCCGTGTCTTCTTGGGCTTTTCTGAAAAATAATGCCAATATCTTCTATTTGAAAACGGGATTTCCCTTTTTTTGGGCTTGTGATGGGAACCTCTGGAAAATAATGCCAATATGATCCAATATGTTCTATTTGAAAACGGAATTTCCGTGTTTTTTTCTGGGCTTGTGATGGGAACCTCATTTGAAAACGTGATTTCCGTGTCTTTTTGGGCTTTTCTGAAAAATAATGCCAATATCTTCTATTTGAAAACGGGATTTCCTTTTTTTTGGGCTTGTGATGGCAACCTCTGGAAAATAATATCAATATCTTCTATTTGAAAACGGAATTTCCATGTTTTTTCTGGGCTTGTGATGGGAACCTCATTTGAAAACCGGATTTCCGTGTCTTTTTGGGCTTTTCTGGAAAATAATGCCAATATCTTCTATTTGAAAACGGGATTTCCCTTTTTTTGGGCTTGTGATGGGAACCTCTGGAAAATAATGCCAATATCTTCGATTTGAAAACGGGATTTCCAATTTTTTTTTGCTTGTGATGGTAACCTCTGGAAAATAATACCAATATCTTCTATTTGAAAACGGAATTTCCGTGTTTTTTCTGGGCTTGTGATGGGAACCTCATTTGAAAACGGGATTTCCGTGTCTTTTTGGGCTTTTCTG